CCCCAAAACCCCAAAACCCCAAAACCCCAAAACCCCATGATTATTGAAGCTAGTTAATGTTTTAGTTATAAATTGTAAATAAATTAGTTCTTAGATGTTTATAAATTTCGTTAGTGTGGCCTTAAAGGAGTGAAAGCTTTAGACTCACATATGAAAATTAATAGCTCTCATTTAGATGCAGTAGATGTCTTTATTCATGCTTTAGTATATAACTTACTCAAGTAAGTTGATTTTTAATTTAAGCATTAATCCAATATTTCTCTCTTTAGGAGGTCAAACAATTGAACGATCGAATCACTAAAAATATCAATGCTTCTTGTTTCATGCGCCAATGATACAATTTTTTTAAGAAGTTATTCTTAATCTACATAATCCACGCCACAAGAATCTTCTATATCTTACACAAAATAGTCAATTAAAACTTGGTACTTGCCATTTATTTTATGTGCATATAAAAGCTCACTATCTTATGGTACTCCTGCTATTGGAATATTGCAATCGTAATCTTTATAGCAGAAAGGATATGCTTTATTTGTTCTTAACTTTTCTTATTTTATTTTTTTGAAGTCGTTAAGTTCTTACCAAATTATCATAGAAGAATAATCACATCTCTAAAGAAAATTAAGGATTTCTTCTTTCAAAATGTAATCTTTGGCTTGGTAGTCTAAGGATTTAATGGAGTTAACCGTATTATGAATATAATTCTGAACATCAAAGGGGCATTTACAAATTTTGCTCTCTTGAATTTAATCCTTATTGCTGTCTAAATACGCACCAGTAGCTTTAAGATCATCAACACACAAATCTTTCAATAAATTTGCTCTTTTTAAGAGTTTATCGGTTAAAAAATCGTAGAGATTTTTACTTTCATATTCAAGCTCTATAAATAAACTCTATAGCTAGGATTAATCAGCCACACAACCTTCATTTGATAAGTAAGTTTAGATATAAGAAATTGCATCTTTCTTATTTACTCTAGCAGCATATGCCTATTCTGCAAGTTTACAATTTGCAAATTGAGTGTCAAATTTAATTTTTAAATCAGTTTGATTGTTTTTTAGATATGAGTCTACTTATTGTTTCAGTTCATCACTCTATATTGAAAAGATAGAGTCAAAACTTAACTTTGATGTAGCTTTAGAAGCATAGCTGATGATATTATTAAAGCAATTTAGAGGTATGAATGATTTTTTCTAAAGAAATTGCCTATCACAGAACCAGAAAACTTAGCTAGCTTCCAATTAAGACAGTTTCCAAGGATTCTGGTTCTCATGATTAAGTGGAAACTCATTTTATACCTTAATTTTGAAGTTCCATAGATCTAAGTTGCCATCATAATAATATTTTCTTTAATTATCTATAAATTAGTTGAGATTAAGTACGTGATTTAACTCATATGTTTAAAGCTATTATCTTTCATATTTTGTCCATTATTAAAAGGCTTCTTTGGATGAGAAAGTGTCTTTAAGAGAAATTTTATAGAATTAGTAATAGTATGAGATGCTAATCTCTGCAGGTAATGCGAGCTAATAACTATATCTTAGCTTGTAGGCTTGTTAAGCTAAATCCAATAGCAGTTCAAAATCATATTTATCAAGAAGGTATGGTAAATCACATTAACCCAGTTATAGCTTAGAGATAGTTTGAGCATTGGTGAAGCCCATATTTTTAATGTATTCAGCCTCCTTAGGGTTAGTGTTATATGCAGAATTTGAGGTGTTTTAATCGCTAGCCAAATTATTTACTTGGGTCACAGGCGATGTGTTATATAGTTGAGCATTCCATTAATGAAACTAAATTTCTTCATCTTATTACTTGGAACATTGATCAAGACTATCATAAAAAGAGCAGTAAGGTTAAATCTTTTACTAAACCATGAGTTCTAGCTTTAATATAGTGTAGTTGTATAGCGCAGAAAAGATTTAAATCTCATTGCTACCATCGCTCTGCTCTATAAGGTTCAAAATACGTTGACCATTTGAGTAGTCAGAATATTCGTTTATTTCTTATATTATAGAGGATAGCAGTTGAGTCGTAGGCTAATATCAAACTAATAGTATTGGTAATTTCAAGAAAAACTTCTTGTGAAAAACGTTCAAATATTTCGTAAACATCGATATACTTACTCTTGTCGGTATCATAGCATTGTTACTACTTTCTAATAAAGAAGTTTTAGAGATTTGTAAGAATGTTATCGTCATTAGTGTCGTCACTTAAAATTACTTGAATAATCTCTCCATTATGAATATTTTCGTTAAACTAAATGCCGTTTGGACAATCTATTTCCATCAAATCATTTATATCAACTTGAATATTTTCAGCCAATATTCCAATGATTCCAGTACACTCTTTGGATTATACTAGTCTCTAATCAATCTCTTTGTAGTTAATAATCGTTAATTTGAAGTCCAAATTAAGTCACTTTCTGCAAGTCGAAACATTTAATCAAATTGATCTTGAGATTGTGCCTGTTTGACTTAGTTTATAAATTAATTGAACATTGATACTGGGTTTTAATTAATATCTTTATATTATTGCTCTTGAACTAATTTGAAGACTTTCTTTGCTTCGATTTAAGAAAGTTTCCAAGGAGATTAAGTTGTGTGATCAGCTGGATATTTATTATAAACAAGGTTATCCAGATCCCATTCACTGAACTAATAATTTCCATATCCTTATCTTATACTCTCTAAGATTTATATTAGATCATCTTAAAGGGAGCTTTATAAAGACAGAAGATCTTATTTTTCGGATTCAGCCCATTTTTGAAAAGCTTATTAACTCATGAAGTTTTTATTTGAGAGAAGAAAGTAATTAGTATAGTAATAATATTTGCTTTCTCCTAAGGAGTGTTAAGGATTTCTTAAATTTCTTAATATAGAGGCCTCATTAGCTAAATATTCTAATATTTTATTGTCACTCTTTTATAATTCGTAAAGCTCTTTACAAAAAAATAGGCCTTGCTTAGAAGTTTGCCTATATTGAGCCAGATTAAGATTTAAGGCAAGAGATTCACTTTTGGCTCTCGATTTGAGGAAAGTTGTTTAGCAAACACTCAAGAAGAGTAAAAATAAAATGGTTAAAGATTTGAGGCTTTAGCGTGACATTAAATTTATTAATTAATAATAAAGTAGCCTTAATTTTGAAGATATTTATATATTTGATAGTTAAAATATTTTTCTAATCACCAAAATTTTATTTCTTTGATCGAGCGGGGTTTTGGGGTTTTGGGGTTTTGGGG